ATTAAATAAAATTTAAGAAGGAGCGCACTCACTTGAGCTGAGAACACAAATATACCTTCTTACCTTTCGGCCCTCAAGGCCTGGCTATGCACGAACACCATTTTGCCTCATGATTGACCTCGCCCAACCCTTCAACACTGACGTGTAATTTTTGAGTTGGATATTGTGTATTGCTGGTGTAGAAAGTATAATGTTCATTGTTCACTGTAGGGCCTGTCGTGATATCATGGATCGCTTAGGTTCCACCATGAGGATCTGGTAGTCCTCATAATTCTGCGGCCTCTATGTATCGTCATCTCGCACAACTCCTTAAGAATCTTACGTTTTTGGCATGTGAAAATTTGCAGCCTCCCAGACATTGATTGCGGTTAACGAGGTGTCGTACGTCACCTCAAGATCATGTAATTACAGGGAGCTGACAGGCCTGAAGTCAGTTGATTGGGTCTGAGGTCACGTGATTGTGAGCCTGAGGTCTCGTGACTATGACGTATCCAGAGCTTGTTCTCCGTTTCCCGCTCATTGGACCAGGTGAGCTGATCCCGTGGTTGTGAATGTGAATGTAAGTACTGTACTGTAGTATATCTCTATTACCCCCAATAGAAACCCAAATTTAATTTCTGACAGAAAAAAAAATTTACCAAAATATCGACCTTGTTATAAACTCATTTTGATGACCGAATACTTACAACGTTTTCGTCATTGTCAAATAAAATCCATACTTTCTACAGTAAAGAGCTTAGAGCTAAATGGTGATGTGAAGAGATTAGAGAAATTTAAACATAAATAATTTTTTTAATTTCCTCGAACAAAGCTTTCGACAAGCAAGTTTCTAGTCAGTTATAAATGGAGGCAGGTTTTTATTGGTGTTCTTTTTTTCAGTCATTTGACACGTGATAACCTGGGCCACATTGGTAAAACCTGGATTTTAAGGCATAAGGAACTCTGAATCCGAGTTTAATAAATTTCTCGTGCAATTTAAGGTCATGAACTGTCATTAAAATGAGTGTATAACAATTTTGATATTTTGGATTATTTCTAGCTTTCTGTCAGAAAATAAATCTGAGCTTTTATAAGGGTATCATTTTACTAACACCACGGCATCAACTTTAACACGACTTCCCACAAAAACCGTAAAAGATATACCTACAACTTAAACTTTTTCGACTGGTTCAAATGCTTTAATGGCCTTCAAATCAGCATGAAAAAATTAAAAATTGGCCAAGGAATATGAATTTGAGTGCCCCAAATATGGACCCCCAAGTGTTGTCAAATGGACCGGAGAACCAAAAGAGTAAGTAATAAATAGCCTTGGGAGGCTCCCAAGGAGAAATGGGAGCTTGGTATTTATAATCACTACTGCACTCTCATGCGGCTTCTATATTAATACTTTAATATAGAAAGTGATACATGTGTCACATGCAACTATAAGTATAATACTTGGATCGGTTTCTCCTAAAAGTTTCTCTTTGCAAGGAAAAGTGAGAGATGAGACAACTAGCTTAACAGACGAGCACTTTAATAAGTAAGAGACCAATGCTTATATCTTTTCTCTTACACTCACATCACACGCAAATTCACATTCACAAGCATGGGAGCTCACCTGGTCCAACGAGCTTGGTATTTATGATCACTACTGCACTCTCATGCGGCTTCTATATTAATATAGAAAGTGATACATGTGTCACATGCAACTATAAGTATAATACTTGGATCGGTTTCTCCTGAAAGTTTCTCTTTGCAAGGAAAAGTGAGAGATGAGACAACTAGCTTAAGAGACGAGCACTTTAATAAGTAAGAGACCAATGCTTATATCTTTTCTCTTACACTCACATCACACGCAAATTCACATTCACAAGCATGGGAGCTCACCTGGTCCAACGAGCTTGGTATTTATAATCACTACTGCACTCTCATGCGGCTTCTATATTAATATAGAAAGTGATACATGTGTCACATGCAACTATAAGTATAATGCTTGGATCAGTTTCTCCTAAAAGTTTCTCTTTGCAAGGAAAAGTGAGAGATGAGACAACTAGCTTAACAGACGAGCACTTTAATAAATAATAGACCAATGCTTATATCTTTTATACACTCACATCACACTCACTTGACCACGAAACAACTCAAATGCAACTTAATATTCTCGGTAATTTTTGTAAGGAGTGGGGCATTGAAATCAATGAACTCAAAACTCAAGCAGTCATCTTTGGCAAGAAAACTTTAAAACAGGACGTACAAAACATCAAATTTACACTCAACGGATCTAATCTTGAAATTGTTGACAGTTATTGTTACCTTGGATTTGAACTTCATCAATCGGGTCAAGTACAGATTGCTCAACAAAACCTTAAAACCAAAGCAATGCGTGCATTTTTGGCCTGAAAAGGGTTGTCATGCGTTCAAAGTTATCTTTTAAAGCACTCCTTACACTTTTCGTCTCTCATCAAGCCCATTTTATTATATGGTGCTCCAATATGGACACCCACTAGTACGATCAATAAATCTCTTTGCAAAACGATTAACTCGACAGAAGCAACCGCTACTAACTCACTTAAAAATCAGCGCCTCTCTACAAGAAAGAGTGCATATTTCATTCCTAAAATGGGCATTGGGAGTCCTTCGTAAAGCATCAAATGTAGGTGTATGGGGAGAAACAGGAAGAATTCCTCTGATTTATCAATCAATTCGCTTAACACTAAGTTACTTCAAAAGGCTAATTACAAAATCAAAGTCGAATTCGTTTGTAACTGCAGCCGTAAAAGAAAAAAAAATCACTAAACTTACCTTGGTATCGATACATAAAACCACTCCTTGAACTAGATGAAACTGATCACTGTAAGTGATCACAAATTATTCAAAGACTCCCTTAAAAATCAGTCAAATTTTAGTCAATGTATCAAACCACTATGCAGCAAAAAGTATAGAATTCCTAACATCATCGAAGCTCTAACCAATCAATTCAAAAAATGTTGGGAATATCAGAAATCTTCTTCTTCTAAACTCTCATTCTATCACTCAATCAAACACACCTTCAACCGAGAGCCCTACTTACACTTATGCAAAGGCTTCTCTCGTCGTTATAACACCACAAAAGACGATTGCGAAACTACGAAGCACAAAATTGTACCAAAGTCCTATTGCACTTAGAGTTCTTCTTGGACATTACATTGGACATTACATTTTAAATCGATCCATCCCAACATGTTCTGTTGAATCGGCTGAAGGATCATAGCGACATAAACTACGTCGTACCGACAGAAATGGTAAAGTCGAAAAAGGGTGAAAAATAAACCGAACAGCGTACTGAAGAACTTGGTGGTACAGAGTCACAGACTCTGGATCTGGTGTTATTGAAATTCCGGCAGTATCGAGATAGCCCGACCACTGTCCGCGGACCACTGTCTGATGCTCAGGACAAAGCTTTGTTATCTTTTTTGTAGTAGAATGTAGGATCCCAATTCCCATCGAGGACTGATTGTCCATTGCTAGTTGGTTAAGCTCACTTATAGCCGTGCTGGTGCTTTTAGATTTGACTTTGATGTTGCTCATTGTTGCTCATTGTTGCATCATGTATCAGAGCCATCAGGCTATTGCTGAAGTGCCACGTAGGTGATTGCCGGGAAGGTTTGGAGAATGGAGCTATGATCTGATCATCAGTCTGTCCTTTGTTTGCTTGTTGGTTGCTTGTTGTTTGCTTGTTGTTTGCTTGTTGTTTGCTTGTTGTTTGCTTGTTGTTTGCTTGCTGTTTGCTTGTTGTTTGTTGTTTGCTTTTTGTTTGCTTTTTGTTTGCTTGTTGTTTGCTTGTCGTTTGTTTGTTGTTTGCTTGCTGTTTGCTTGTTGTTTGCTTGTCGTTTGTTTTTTGTTTGCTTGTTGTATAGCATTATTATTAGAAATGCTATACTCGGTGGGACTGCGACAAACAGATGTGTTCTTTATACTTTACTTTAGAGCAGACCATTTTTGTATCTACTGTTAATATAACACACATAACCCCGGCATGCGCAGGGATTATATTTCAATTTTTCCCGCGACGCGCGGGAAAAATTTATAATAATTTCGAGTGCGAAGCACGAGGGATTATTATGAAAATAACCCCGACGTGCTTTAGCACGAGGGGTTATTTTAATATAACTTAAGCGTGCCGGTGTTATGTGTTATAAACCCCTCCGGGTTAGTGCTAGGACAAACAAATTTCATAATTCTAGCTATATGAGATCAGTATGGAAAATATGAAATGGAATTGGGGGGTATATTATACTACCAAATAAATACAACTAAGGTACTATGACATTTGAAATTGGCGTTATATCTAAACATTATTCCTCAGTCAGAACATTGAATGAATATCGATAAGGGGCGTCGAGTTAAGCCTGGCAAGCGATAAAAGGTGGATCTAATAATGATATCGTGTCATGAAGTTCATCAAAGTAGACAACTATAATACATGGCTTATATCAAACAGGACAATTGCTACGACAAAATTAACCGGACAAATGTAACTGTCGAGACAAGTTCTGGAACTGGTCCAAGTAATGTAATTGTAAGAGTTTAAGTAATGTACGCAGTGTGCTGGAGTTTTGCCAGCGCCTGCAGTAAGACCGATACGTAGATCAACTTCAAGTGTATTTATAGTTCTTACGTTAAGCCATATAGGTCACGTGACATTTTTTACCAATGCGCGTCGTAGTAGTTAGTCACGTGATATACGTCATCAAAACAAGTGACAGTGCGCGGTTGAAATTCTCGTGGAATATCAAAACAAAACAAATCTTGTTGAGCCAAATTAGCGGGGCGGGATTATAGAAGCAGTGCCGGGGTTATTTATTCAGCGGGAAAAAACTAACAGCGGGAGCCGGGATTATCAAAATCTATTTAGCGGGAGCCGGGATTATCAGAATCTTATTCTAACCCGGAGGGGTTTATAAAAATAATCAACTAGCGGATTGATTGCTGTATCTGTGATAACATTATGTTTAATTTTAACAAATAAGACAGATACGTAAATGCAAATGCTAAAAGCATCAAATACAGGAAAATTGTTACAGTTTAGAAGAATAGTATAGTGTAATAATACGGAATCGTTTTAAACACATTTTAAGATTGTACGCTATGATTACAGAAATCAACTTATTGTGCCCATTGATTAAGATAACAATGAATAATTGTCTCTATCTAATAAAGGTCTCTATAATTATTGTCTCTATATCACGTGATCCTTGTACCGTCCACCATCAGGTATCACGAGATCACATAGCCATGTGTCTACGCGTACTGCGGTCGCGCGCTACTGCAAGTTAGAGCAAGTATCACGTGATCACGGCATCATTAGACTGAGCACCCTTAGCTATTACTCTACATCGCAAAGACGGCAACTTTTACGGCAATTCTTTACCATATCTTCTTCGTATGTTCCTAGGCAGTCTCCATTATAAATGTCCACCATAATTTTACAAATTCCTGGAATGCCGGCATCAACACATGGTGGTAGTGCCAGTGGTGATTGAGCTGAAAAGTTGTAATATTAAATACGCGTTATTGAAAGATTAATTAATGATTAAATAAGTGCATCTCCCACCTGTTATAGTGGGGCTCAATGGGTTATCTAAATTTCTTATAAACTCCAGTTTCACATTAAATACATCCATAACACTCCTATTCCCTATCAAAACGATACACTAAATTGGGTTACATTTTAATTGGGTATTTTTTTAAATGTTTGGTGTAAACATACCAATGTAATGTCGATATTATGTATTAGTTATAAGTCGATGAAAATTTGGTATTCACAAATTAAATCAGATTAAAATAAACCACCATTTTGCTTACCATGAAATCCAGCCACGAGTAGAAATACTACCACAATCTTCATCATCATCATCATAGCGCCTTGATATCTGTATTGCGATCGTTATATTGATTTCATGAGCATGAAAGAAAGGTGGTATCGATATGATGATACAGATTATGGATACACCGGTTAAGAAATTGTTAACATAATCTAAAACATGAACAGTATTGCTCTATGAACTGTGGCCAGAAATGTTTGTTGATAAAACAATTAAACTATGGAGAACGACCTCAGTATCAATACAAATTATAAAAAATAACGAAAATTAAATAAAATTTAAGAAGGAGCGCACTCACTTGAGCTGAGAACACAAATATACCTTCTTACCTTTCGGCCCTCAAGGCCTGGCTATGCACGAACACCATTTTGCCTCATGATTGACCTCGCCCAACCCTTCAACACTGACGTGTAATTTTTGAGTTGGATATTGTGTATTGCTGGTGTAGAAAGTATAATGTTCATTGTTCACTGTAGGGCCTGTCGTGATATCATGGATCGCTTAGGTTCCACCATGAGGATCTGGTAGTCCTCATAATTCTGCGGCCTCTATGTATCGTCATCTCGCACAACTCCTTAAGAATCTTACGTTTTTGGCATGTGAAAATTTGCAGCCTCCCAGACATTGATTGCGGTTAACGAGGTGTCGTACGTCACCTCAAGATCATGTAATTACAGGGAGCTGACAGGCCAGAAGTCAGTTGATTGGGTCCAAGTGTTGTCAAATGGACCGGAGAACCAAAAGAGTAAGTAATAAATAGCCTTGGGAGGCTCCCAAGGATAAATGGGAGCTTGGTATTTATAATCACTACTGCACTCTCATGCGGCTTCTATATTAATACTTTAATATAGAAAGTGATACATGTGTCACATGCAACTATAAGTATAATACTTGGATCGGTTTCTCCTAAAAGTTTCTCTTTGCAAGGAAAAGTGAGAGATGAGACAACTAGCTTAACAGACGAGCACTTTAATAAGTAAGAGACCAATGCTTATATCTTTTCTCTTACACTCACATCACACGCAAATTCACATTCACAAGCATGGGAGCTCACCTGGTCCAACGAGCTTGGTATTTATGATCACTACTGCACTCTCATGCGGCTTCTATATTAATATAGAAAGTGATACATGTGTCACATGCAACTATAAGTAGAATACTTGGATCGGTTTCTCCTAACAGTTTCTCTTTGCAAGGAAAAGTGAGAGATGAGACAACTAGCTTAACAGACGAGCACTTTAATAAGTAAGAGACCAATGCTTATATCTTTTCTCTTACACTCACATCACACGCAAATTCACATTCACAAGCATGGGAGCTCACCTGGTCCAACGAGCTTGGTATTATATATATTTTGGTAAGAAAACTTTAAAACAGGACGCACAAAACATCAAATTTACACTCAACGGATCTAATCTTGAAATTGTTGACAGTTATTGTTACCTTGGATTTGAACTTCATCAATCGGGTCAAGTACAGATTGCTCAACAAAACCTTAAAACCAAAGCAATGCGTGCATTTTTGGCCTGAAAAGGGTTGTCATGCGTTCAAAGTTATCTTTTAAAGCGCTCCTTACACTTTTCGTCTCTCATCAAGCCCATTTTATTATATGGTGCTCCAATATGGACACCCACTAGTACGATCAATAAATCTCTTTGCAAAACGATTAACTCGACAGAAGCAACCGCTACTAACTCACTTAAAAATCAGCGCCTCTCTGCAAGAAAGAGTGCATATTTCATTCCTAAAATGGGCATTGGGAGTCCATCGTAAAGCATCAAATGTAGGTGTATGGGGAGAAACAGGAAGAATTCCTCTGATTTATCAATCAATTCGCTTAACACTAAGTTACTTCAAAAGGCTAATTACAAAATCAAAGTCGAATTCGTTTGTAACTGCAGCCGTAAAAGAAAAAAAATCACTAAACTTACCTTGGTATCGCTACATAAAACCACTCCTTGAACTAGATGAAACTGATCACTGTAAGTGATCACAAATTATTCAAAGACTCCCTTAAAAATCAGTCAAATTTTAGTCAAAGTCTCAAATAACGGAGTAGTTCGCTGTTTATTAGTCTCATGATTGAAATACTGATATCTGGATATTATCCGGTTGGAAGAGACAAGGACAAGTGAAACAAGGAAGTTAGGAGTAAGGGCAAATTTTCGGCGTCAACGCCATCTTCAGGCTAAAATTGTTATAAATGTTAGTATATAATAAATGCTTCTATACTAGTTAAAATGCTAAATTGAAATTACACACACTGAATACAGGTTACGTCAAATGGTATTATTAATTATACATTACATTGAAATAGTGATGTACACACGTTTTACACTCTGTCCAAGTACATAATATCTACTGAACATAAGGGTCGTGTGCTATTTGTTTAAATTTGTCTTTGAATATGTTGTAAAAGAAATCCCTTAAGCTTCTCGCACTCGTCTTTGTTATTGATACTAGGTTTAAATAAATTAATGTAGTAAGCTTCTGTCACTTTACGTTTAATGGTGCTATATAAGTTAATTTCTAAAATATCGAAGGAAATATCTGGTTCTAAGTTATTGTGAAACTCTGAATAATGAGCAGCCAACGCATTATCAGGATAGGTTAAAGGCCTGTTGACTGCTCTTCGATGCTCTGAAAATCTATCGTGTGCTGTTCTACTCGTTTCCCCTATATATAGCTCTTGACATAATTTACACGTAACTTTGTATATGACACATTTTGGTTTGCAGTCGTGATTTGTTGTGATGAGTGGACATATGATACAGTTTGGTATGGTGCAGTGTGGTTTGTCGTGTGGTCGTGATGAACATAAGATCTCTGAGAGTTTCTTACCTGGTGTGAATATGAATTTGACCGGTAAGTTGTGTGAGAGGGCAAATTGAGTGACTTCTTTGGAAAATGGCTCGTTGATGAATGGTAGAGTGCATGTTACGTGGTCGGTATCTTGTATGTTTGATGATGAAGGGTTATGACGTGTTGTAGGTGAGAGAGGGTGAAGTCGTCCTGTTTTGTTTATACGTCGTGGGTCTTGGTAACCGTTGTTGACCAACAAGTTGTCTACTATCTTCATGGACTCTTCTTTATACTCTGGTGTTGATGAGCAAAAAGCAGCCCGTTTTGTAGAAGTTCTTGATGGTAGCTACTTTAGTTCCCTCATTGTGGTGGCTGTTGGCGTGCAGTGTGATATTCTTTTTCTGCTTCTTTCTGTAGAATTTGTGGTGTAGTGTTCCCTGTTCGTCGATCTTTATCTGGGTGTCGAGGAATGGGGTGAAATCCTGACGGCTTTCCGGATAGTCAATTTCCCATTTGAGCAACTGGTCTGGGTCCTCGTTTGAGATGGACTCCACTATCCTCAGAGCTTCTTCTTTGGAGCTGGCTAGACTCCCGGCATCATCCACGTATCTCCGGTAGAATGAGACGTGTAAATCAGTGTAAATCGATCTTCTCTCGAACATATATACTCGTACTATCGCTCCTATTGGTGATGGTTGGCACCCCATGAAGAGACCAATTTTCTGGAGGTAGAGTCTTGAGTGATATGTAAAGTATGAGTTGGTGAAGACGAATTCAAGGATCTTGTGGATGTGCGTGAGTGTTAGACCCCAGGTGTCGAGGTCTTCCCAATGTTCTTCGGTGAGTGTAATGAGGTCTTGAATGCAGCCACTGATGTTGATGTTTGTGTACAGTGCTGTGACGTCAGCTGTGAAGAATGAGAGACCTGAGAGTTGTTGATGTGACATGTTTTGAAGCTCTTCTAGGTGAGTGTGTATATTGCTCAGGTGAGATGGAACATGATTAAGCAGAGGAGATAGAATAGATTTAACAATCCAAGCAAGCTTCTCAGAAGGGGAATTTATACAAGACACAATTGGACGTATTTTACGTAATTAGAAATAATATCTACATCTGAAACTAAGACATTACAATCAAATTTATGAGTTTTCTGTATTAAATAAATAGTCGGTAGTTGGGTATTATGTGATTTAAATAAGTCTACTGTTTTGCTGTCGTAATTACACATCCTACTTATCTCTGTCCATAACACATTACTCTCAGTCTCTAGTCTCTCAGTAACCCTGTTGATGAGGCGGCTGTAGGAGATTTCTGAGGGGTTTGCTATTGGTTGGATCCGATTTTGTCGCGTGGTGGTAGGTGCAACGTAGGTGTACGCTTCTTGCGAGGTCATGTCTGACAGATGTTTCTGCGTAATCTGCTGTTGTACTCCACTACTCATAATCACAAACTCACCCCCCTTGTCGCTTCTCGAGAAGTGGAGTTCTTCTTTTCTTGCAATCAAGGATTTGAGTCCCTCCCGTTGTTTTGCTGTTAGGTTAGAGGGTACTTTACTGTGTTCTAATCTGGTGTTAATGATGTAACACAGTTGGCGGAGGTGATGTTCCATGGCGAGGTTGGTGGTGGGTGGAGCACCAGCAAACGGTCGTTGAAATGGCACGTTTTTCGACTTAATAAATGCGAAGCTGGTCAAGACTCTACCTCCAGAAAATTGGTCTCTTCATGGGGTGCCAACCATCACCAATAGGAGCGATAGTACGAGTATATATGTTCGAGAGAAGATCGATTTACACTGATTTACACGTCTCATTCTACCGGAGATACGTGGATGATGCCGGGAGTCTAGCCAGCTCCAAAGAAGAAGCTCTGAGGATAGTGGAGTCCATCTCAAACGAGGACCCAGACCAGTTGCTCAAATGGGAAATTGACTATCCGGAAAGCCGTCAGGATTTCACCCCATTCCTCGACACCCAGATAAAGATCGACGAACAGGGAACACTACACCACAAATTCTACAGAAAGAAGCAGAAAAAGAATATCACACTGCACGCCAACAGCCACCACAATGAGGGAACTAAAGTAGCTACCATCAAGAACTTCTACAAAAGGGCTGCTTTTTGCTCATCAACACCAGAGTATAAAGAAGAGTCCATGAAGATAGTAGACAACTTGTTGGTCAACAACGGTTACCAAGACCCACGACGTATAAACAAAACAGGACGACTTCACCCTCTCTCACCTACAACACGTCATAACCCTTCATCATCAAACATACAAGATACCGACCACGTAACATGCACTCTACCATTCATCAACGAGCCATTTTCCAAAGAAGTCACTCAATTTGCCCTCTCACACAACTTACCGGTCAAATTCATATTCACACCAGGTAAGAAACTCTCAGAGATCTTATGTTCATCACGACCACACGACAAACCACACTGCACCATACCAAACTGTATCATATGTCCACTCATCACAACAAATCACGACTGCAAACCAAAATGTGTCATATACAAAGTTACGTGTAAATTATGTCAAGAGCTATATATAGGGGAAACGAGTAGAACAGCACACGATAGATTTTCAGAGCATCGAAGAGCAGTCAACAGGCCTTTAACCTATCCTGATAATGCGTTGGCTGCTCATTATTCAGAGTTTCACAATAACTTAGAACCAGATATTTCCTTCGATATTTTAGAAATTAACTTATATAGCACCATTAAACGTAAAGTGACAGAAGCTTACTACATTAATTTATTTAAACCTAGTATCAATAACAAAGAAGAGTGCGAGAAGCTTAAGGGATTTCTTTTACAACATATTCAAAGACAAATTTAAACAAATAGCACACGACCCTTATGTTCAGTAGATATTATGTACTTGGACAGAGTGTAAAACGTGTGTACATCACTATTTCAATGTAATATAATTAATAATACCATTTGACGTAACCTGTATTCAGTGTGTGT